ATTTTTCAAAAATTGGAAAGGTCATATCAAAGGATTTCATGGTCACTGAAGACTGATTTTTTTTTTCCTGCTAAAAGAGCAAAGGATCACTGAATCTCTGACAGTTGTTTGTGAAGATCCTAGAGCTTTGTAGGAACTCATACAAAGGTCATAAATATATTTTCACAATAAAGCATAATGGCTTGAGGGTCTGGACTGTGGACTGCCTGTTCCTATGCCCTCATTGTCACAGAAGTGAGCAGGTTATTTAGCCATTTTCTAGTTAGGGTTTCTCACGATCAATGGAAACCATAACACCCACCTAGTGTAGCTACTATAAAGATGAAACCAACTGTGCCTGGAACTGTTCAGGACAGTGCATGGTATGTGGTGTGTGTCCTCTGTCTTCCTCAGTATCGGCACTGCTGTAGTAGACACCACAAGCAGTTTAGGTTTGACGTTATACTTGTTCTAAATCTCAAGTTTAATAAGGACATTAAAGTAAAAACTAATGTAGTTACGGCAAAAAGACAAATGAGAAATAAAAAAAGTTCTCCCTCATCGCCCTCCTACAAATACCCAGCTCCTTCATCAGGATACAGGCAAGCAATGTTTCCTACAGCTTCCGTTCCCTACGTGTTCACATTCGTGCAAACTCCTGACTGCATGCTGGTCAGACAGCGAGCTGCTGTAAGTCGCACATGCACACTGCCTGGCTAAGTGTTCCCCTAGGAGCTGCCTTCCAATTGCATTTACAATGCCGTGCATTTCTTCTCTTATTAAGTGAAACGGGGCAGCTTTCAGCTCATCTCAGCAACGAAGTGCTTTTGCAAAGTGAGGCTTTATGAGTAAAGGGGTCCATATTCTACCATGAACACGTTTCCTTCCTGCATTATTAGCACACCTTTATACCACTGAATTTTGACAATTAAGTCCCAGATATGGATGAAAAATGTGTCATCTGGCAGTTTAAAGTTTTCAAATGTGGGCTACTTCCAGGGTACTTTTTTTTTTTTCTATTTTGAAGCAAATTTTTTTTTTCATTTTTTTATTTGAATTAGAAACAAGATTGTTTTACATGTCAATCCCAGTTTTCTCTTCCTACCCTCCTTCCCTACCACTCCTCCCCCCAACTAATACCCTACCTATCACATATCCTTTCTGCTCCCCAGGGAGGCTGAGGCCTTCCATAGGGGTCATCAGAGTCTATCGTATCCTTTGGGATAGGGCCTAGGCCCACCCCCCGCGTGTCTTGGCTCAGGGAGTATTCCTCTAGTGGAATGGGCTCCCAAAGTCCACCTATGCTAGGGATAAGTACTAAACTACTACAAGAGGCCCCATAGATTTCCGAGGTCTCCTCACTGAAACCCATGTTCCTGGGGTCTGGATCAGTCCCATGCTGGTATCCCAGCTATCAGTCTGGGGAGCAAGAGCTCCCCCTTGTTCAGGTCAGCTGTTTCTGTGGGTTTCACCAGCCTGGTCTGGACCCGTTTGCTCCTCACTCGTCCTTCTCTGCAACTGGATTCCAGTTCAGTTCAGTGATTATCTGTGGGTGTCTGCTTCTACTTCCCCCAGCTGCTGGATGAAGGCTCTAGGATGGCATATAAGTTAGTCATCAATCTCACTATCAGGGGAGGGCAGTTAAGGTAGCTTCTCCTCTGTTGCTTAGATTGTTATTTGGTGTCATCTTTGTAGATCTCCAGACAAATCTCCAGACAGATCTCCCTAGTGCCTGATTTCTCTGTAAACCTAAAATGTCTCCCTCTATTATGGTATCTCCTTTCTTGTTTTCTTCTATTCTTCCCCCGACTCAACCTTTCTGCTCCTTCACGTCGACCACTCCCCTCCTGTTCTCGCCATCGCATTCTCCTAGCTCCCTCCCCTCTCCTCCCTGGCTCCCAATTTGCTCAGGAGATCTTGTCCCTTTCCCCTTCTCCAGGGGACAATGTATGTCTCTCTTAGGGTCCTCCTTGTTTCCTAGCTTCTCTGGCAGTGTGGATTGTAGGCTGGTAATCCTTTACTCTATGTCTAAAATCCACATATGAGTGAGTACATATCATGTTTGTCTTTTTTGTGTTTGGGTTACTCGCTCAGAATGGTCTCTTCTAGTTCCATCCATTTTCCTGCAAGTTTTAAGATTCCATTGTTTTTTTTTTCCCCCCGCTGAGTAGTACTCCATTGTGTAAATGTACCACATTTTCTCTATTCATTCTTCAGTTGAGGAGCATCTAGGTTGCTTTCAGTTTCTGGCTATTACAAATAGTGCTGCTATGAACATCATTACTTTTATAAAATAGCTACCATAAGGATTGCATTTGACAGACAACAATGAAATCGACCCCGATTCTATTCAGTTTTGTTTTCAATAGTTTATAAACACTCAACTTATCTCTAGGTAAGTATTTCAGGGTGATTTTTATTTAAAGGTGTTTTCAATTCATTTCTTAAAGTATAAATATTCAGGATCCTTTGAATTGTTTTAGTCTAGTTTTTGTAGAAGTACTTTAAAAAACCAAAAAGCAAAATAGTGTTTGTTGAACATTCACCTCCAAGGCATTGCCTTAGGTGCTCTCTCAGTGCTCAGTATTTCATAGCATGTTCAAAAAGTAAATTACAAGTTAGATGAGGGACAACACCTAATAAACAAGAAAAGGTGTTTTTCATTAACAATATTGCCATTGTCAGTGTTTACAGAATAGACAACTCAGTCTATTCTATAGCACCTTGTGCCAGAAAGACATAAGATAGATTACCAATGAAGACTTTGAAGGGAATAGATTTTTTATTTATTCCTGATATGCTAGATCATTCAGTACTTTCTTTGTCCATTTTACTTAGCCTTTTACATAAGTTCACATGGTTGTACAAAATACCCATATGCCCATATATTCTATGGCTATTAGCAGAGTTCTTGCTACTGGCTGTTTCCCACCAGAAGCCAGTAGAAGACCTATGAACCAAGTGGTGAACAAGTCACTCCAGCAAGGTAACATTACAGAAATTTAGATAAGGAACAGTCCATGAATATTCATGAGGACAGATGGAGAGTATGTGAATCAGAAATGCTGAAAGGGAAATGCGTGAACTATGGCTTCCCCAAATGATTTGAAGGTGAGCTTTTCAGTATTGCGGGGAGATTTGAACATTGGTCACCAGGGAGGTTCTCACCTTAGTCAGGATACACACCAAAGGAGATGGGAGTGTATGAGGTGCCTGAATCGGCTACTTCCTAAAATAAGACAGCCTGGCACATGGGAAATGCAAGTTAGCTCATCTTTATGTCATTTGTCACCCTTAATTTGGTGAACCCATAAAGAGTTTGAGGCCAGTCTGGGCTACATGAGCAGTTATCTCAACAACAAAACCAAAAACCAAATAAGCAAAAATAGAAGGTGGAGAATGGAGAGGAAGAGGGAATGAGGGGGGATAAGAGAGAGGGGAAATGGGAAGAAGGAAGGGAAGAGAGAGAGAGAGAGAGAGAGAGAGAGAGAGAGAGAGAGAGAGAGAGAGAGAGGGAAGCAGCCACAGCGTTTCCTGATAACCATGAGTGCATATATACAGAGTAACTGTGAGGGAAAATATAATGATATACAGAGTAACTGTGAGGGAAAATATAATGATATACAGAGTATCTGCGAGGGAAAATATAATGGGCACCTTGGAAGGTCTCTCCTCATATTATAAACTGCCTCAGTGCTGTTTACCTCCTCCGAGCATCCGAGAGCCCGTGGCTTTTCTTGTTGCACATTGTTTCTGAGCTAAGGCTAACTTTTGTGGGGATTAATACCTGTAAATATTGCTGTCTTCATCATTGTCCCAGGACAGATCAAAGACTGCAGAGCTTTGAAACATAAAATATTCTTACCACCACCAGCAGCTACCACCATGGCATGCTCTTCTAAGTGCAAGCAGAGCTGGTCTCAAAATAACCTCACATCACTCTGACCTTCATTTGCACATAGCCTAGCAAATGCAGAAGTGTCTTTTCTTTAAAAACAAAGTTCTTCTACCAAAACAGAATTTCCAAATGTGAGTTTCCAAGGTACAGTGACTGGACATCCCCACGCCAAAGATTAGGGATCTTAAGTCAGTTTTTTGTTTGTTTGTTTGTTTTTGGTATTTCGAGACAGGGTTTCTCTGTGTAGCTTTGGAGCCTATCCTAGCACTCACTCTGGAGACCAGGCTGGCCTCAAACTCACAGAGATCTGCCTGCCTCTGCCTCCCGAGTGCTGGGATTAAAGGTATGTGCCACCGACACCTGGCTAAGTCATTTTTTTTTAAACTAAGTTGGATAATATCTGTCCACTCTCCCTGATGGGAAATCTCAGTGCACACCAACATATTAAACCATCTTTAAGGCATGTTGCCTACAAACCTAGCTAGCTTTTTTTTTGAGGAAAGTCTCACTGTGTGGCTCTAGCTGGCCTGGAACTCAGAGACCCACTTGCATCTGCCTTCCTAGTGCTGGTGTCAAAGGCGTGTACCACCATACCTGGCTGGTTAACTGTTTAAAACTATTTATATATAACTCTACAAAAACCCTCAGGTTAACCATTCTGCTGATATTTGGGTTATTTTCTGCCGTGATCTGGATGTTTGGTAGCTATCAATTCTAACAGTCACATTAGGTTGTATGATCTTACACCTAGAATGAGGAGTGAGCAAAGGTCTTTCTGAGCCTTGTGCAGACAGCTTCCATTGGATCAGGTTCGTTTCCTGGGCAGTGCACAAGTTCATTGCTTAAGAATGACATTAAGCATGTAAGTTCCTTCCCTGCATAGGGACTCAGATGAGAACCAGGGCTGGTTGCCTTCTAAGGAAGGAGTAGAAACAGCTGACTTTCTGTGATTGGGCTGTGACCTGGATTGCAGTTTTTCCAAGATGTGGTGGCTGGTATTGCCTCTCCCTGTTGCCTGTGCCTTGTGCTTGCCTGCGGCAGAACTTTTGAATGGCTTGCGCTCCCGTTTCTCTGTGAAGTATGTGTGTTCCTTACCAATTAAATTTTTGTTGGCCTTCTACAGTGATGGAGAAGGGAGAAAAAGAACCTCATCCACCTGCAGCAATGAGTCCCTAAATGCAGGGGGAACCCCTGTCACTCCTCGAAGAATCTCCTGGAGGCAGCGTATTTTCCTCCGGGTTGCATCTCCTGTGAACAAGTCCCCTTCAGCAATGCAGCAAAAAGGTCTGTGTGAAGTCAGTCAAGAATTCCTCCTCACAAATGTCCAAGGTTAGGGAATGCCTAATGTGTAGACATTTAGGAGAATATGGGGAATCATAGCTTCCTGTGTGCCCTGTTGCAGCTCATTTTAAGTGATCATTATAACACATTAGACTACATAGCTGGTACATGCTTGACTGGATGCATGAGTGAGTGAGATTTTTGACTTGGGTGTTACTTTATAATGCTAGGGAGATATGCTCTATTATGTATACCCGAGAACCAGAAAATGATATGCAAGAGAATTTTGAAGAGAAGTAAATGAGCCAATAGTGCATATTAGAGATTTTAATAAATTCCTTTCTGAAAATTCAGAATGGGAAAGTGAACCATGTGTAATATTTGAATAATGCAACTGAACAAGCTTCACATAACACTGATAAATAATTTGCCACTGTAGAGAAAATGAATCCATTTTGGACACATAAGAAACACACAAATTAGTTATATATTTGGCCAAAGTGTATAAATATGTTGGAAAGTTTCACACAGTTGTGATCATCTGTGCTTCATTTTCTGATCACAGAGGGAAAGAGAGAGGGAGGGGAAGGTGATGCTTCATTGTATTTATCTAAAAGCAAAAAATGAGAGATTAAGTATACTGAGGTGTCAAGGAGCTGGCAGCAGTCACCGGTATACAGACACAGGAGTAGCAATGGCCTAAGAGCAGGGATCAGTGAATTTACAAACAGAATAAACTGGCATTGCTGAAAATGACACCAGCTCTGCCTAGGATGGTCCAAGGGCTTCACAGAAAAAAATTGAATATTTACACTCATTTTTTTGGAGACATATCCCAGAAAAGTTCTAGATTCATACTGAGAGAGTTTTCAGGCCAGAGGATTGTGGGGGATTGAACAAGAAGGACACCCTGGATGGAAGAGTGAGACCTGAGGTTGGAAAATCAGCTTGGGGTGATCCTGGCACGATTTTACATGCTATTCCCAGAGAGCTACATATTGTTATTAATTTTTTGGCGATATCAGCCATTATTGGAATGTTTTATGAGATAGGATCATTCTATTAGTAGAATAATAATTGGCATAAACAGAACAGCTGGAATAGTGGGAGAGAAATAGCTTGGGCAGGCCAGTTAAGGAAACTATGCCAGGAGGGAATGGCCTTGGTGTGTTGCTCAGAGTGGAAAGGCCCGGCATTGCTCAGCTGAGGTATCCTGTGGGGCTCAGCTGGTAGACAGGGACCTCAAGAGGTCACCCACACCTACTCACACAGCCCTGTGTCACACAGGCTGAGAATCTACACTGATGAATTGCAGAAGTGTCAACCCCTGGGGAAAGGCCAGTTTACTTTGCAGCCACTGGCTCTTGTGTTTCTGGGTGGAAAGAAGAAGTGGTGACCTCACGCGTGTTCTGGTTTCACTGCCACAGGGAAACCTGGAAGGGGAATTCAGTCTGAATTTACTTAAATCACAAGTTCCAGTAACTCAGAGCTACTGGGAAAGCGGTGTGTGAGCACCTTTCTGTATGCTGAGCAGCGTGCGTTCTGCAGGGAAGCCCCAACTGTAGGGACCGCTGCAGGATGCCACTCACTGTCTTCTTCTCTGCAGATGGCCTGGACAGGACCGAGCTGCTCCCGTTGTCCCCTCTCACTCCCACTATGGAGGAAGAACCTCTCGTTATATTCTTGTCTGGTGATGAGGACACAGAAAAGGTTGAAGAAAAGAAGAAATCAAAGGAACTAAAGAGTCTGTGGAAAAAAGCTATACACCAGCAAATTCTGTTGCTTCGGATGGAGAAAGAAAACCAGAAACTGGAAGGTTAGCCATTCAAGCAGGTCTAAGGGCTCCATATACACTCATTCTTGGGTGGATGCACACTCTGATTGAATATTGGTTGGTTCTCTCTCTCTCTCTTTCTCTCTCTCTCTCTCTCATACACACACACACACACACACTCCCTCCCTCTCTGCATGCGTGCGTGCGTGCGTGCGTGCGTGCGTGCGTGCGTGTGTGTGTGTGTGTGTGTGTGTGTGTGTGTGTGTGTGTGTGTGAATTATGGCTTGGGAAAGAAGGATTTAAAGTATTTGCCTTTTTCTTTGATACAGTTCAAATACCAGTAGCCTTTTTGCATAATGAAGAGTGCAGATACATAGGATCCCTGAATTTACCAGGATTGAAATTTAGTACTGTTATGCTTTACTTAAGGAAAAACTTTGGAAAATCTTTTTTTTTTTTTTGAATGTGATCTGTCAACTTCCAGGTATATTCATTCTTTCTGAGAGAAATACACCCATTTCAAGAAAATTTTTCTGAGTTGTATCCAATTTAACTACCACTAATTAAATACAACCAAGCCAAAGTTTCTAGGTTTTATAAATTTTTCATTTTGTAAGAGTTGGTATGCTGGCTATGGCTCTTGACTCCTAAGTTTGTATATAACAAATGCTTTAGAATGTGTTTCTCAGCCCCTTAAAAAGACGATGTAATTTGTTTCAGTTCCAGTAGATCCAAAAGATCTCAGATAGTGCCCAAATAAAAAAATACACAAATATCATTTTTTTGGACAAATTACTTCACCCAAAGGGTTTGTTTTTCTATCTGTAAAATGAATGATTAGCTTAAGGGGGCCCTTGCTATCTCAGGTTTCCAGCAGATGTATAAATAGCGTTTTTCTCTCTCTCACTTTTGTTGTATTGTCTTCCAAAAGACATTTAAAAATGTAGATGTTCACATTTCTGAGCTCATTTTCAGCTATAACATGCTCTTTGCTATACATAGCTCTTTGCTATGCTAAACTTGCAATTCAGGTTTTCATTTTTTTAAAATTAACACCACTTGTTTAATTTATTGTTATTTTCTTATCAGCATGCAAAGTGTATAAGTTACTCAATATCCTTAGGAAACAAGTCTTTTCCATAAGATTAAAAACTCAATTAGCTGTTACTAATGTGGTTTTAAGAGGTTGTATGACAGATAGTATACCCTCTGGAGCTCTCAAAGATTTTGGTAGGATTAGAATTCATATTTTTCAGCAATTAGTTTCATCTTGATTATCCTGCACATAAGAAGAAGTTGGCAAAAGATGATTAATGTTGTTTTAAACATTTAAAGCATGGATTGTATTTCAGTTGACAGTATATTCAAATCAAATCTTATATTCAATATCAAAGGATAGTTTCAGAATCTTGGGTTGTTTGAATGGAGAATGGCCTGGTAGGTTGTTTAGCTTAAGTGACTGGTGCAGGGACACTATGGAATTCACCTGAAGTCACAAGGTGGCACACAGGTGGAACAAATTCTAGAACACAGGGCTGCCTGTTATAACTCCCGGGCCTTTTTTAGTATTCTACAGTATTTCCCAACTGTGTGTGCTAGTATGAAATGATGGGGTCTTTTAAAATGATTACCTGTCCTTACTATAAAATTTTACAGGGTAAGGACAGAGAAGATGATGAGAACTCTTTTGAAAAGGCTTTAGCAACTCCATACTTACTTCATAGCTTAAGCAGAAAGGGCAAAATTCTAGTTGGATGGCAACCATTCCTCAACATTTCCTTACAGTTAAACAGTTGAGGGAGGACAAAAATCAATGCTCTTACCTTTTTTTCTCAGGGTCTGTGACTAGCATATAACAGGTTCTTAGGATTATTTGGGATGCACACTGACAGAGAAGGGTGTAGGAAAGATAGCTAATTAAATATGCGTAGTTCCCTGTGAGGCACACTGTAAGTAGCCATGTATATAGAGAGTTGTGTTCGTTGTTAGCTTCGGCACACCTACTTCTTTTAAAGAATTATCTCAGCCATGCACATGGCTGAGAAACAAAGATGAACTGCACCAGAAAGCCACCTAGTGGACTCCAGGAGGAATATCTTTTGTAGTTCATCTGTCTTTGGGTATGTCCATACTTTTGAATAGGAATCTTTACCACCCTGCTTGAGAATAGTCCATTTAAGATATTTTACTTCTTTTTGGATGGTTTCAACTGCATTAAGTAAAAAGTAACATTCATCCTGCTACTGTTTTTGTGCTGTCGAGGACTTTGGATGCTTGACAAAGATTTGTGTTGCAGAAGGTAAGCTGACCAGGGGAGAACCTGGAGCTAGAGGGAATGGAGAGCCCTCAGATTCCTGTGAAGGGACCATGAGGAAGGGTGGGATGTGCTCTTCTGTGTCTGTGTCTCTGTTCTTTCATAACCAGTTATTTAACATAAAGACCGGTCAAGACAGCGGGTGCTTTATAGGCATTTCCTTTAATGAGTCTGGACTTGTGTTTTAGATCACCAAACAAGAAAGAAGTCTGTGTCATTAAAATACAATGAATTTTCCCTTTAAGGTTATTAGGCATAGAGGCTCGGGTACATAGCTCAGTGGTAGAGGGCATGCTTAGCCTGCACCAGGCCTTCTGCTCAATCCTCAGCACCTCAAATAAACAAAAGATTATTAAAGATGAATATAGGAACTTATAACCTAGAGTTAAGGGGAATATGAATAACCGTACAAATAATAGGGATGCATGAAACTCTCACAGTAAAATAGTTTCCTGAGTAAGGTTAATGCGTGAGGTATTGCCTCCTTATATATGCATCCTGCATAAAATATTAATGCTTCAGTGGGGCTTTAAAGTTTATTTTATTTTTACGTATATGAGTGTTTTGCCTACATGTGTTTCTGTATACCATATGCGTGCCAGTGTCCCTGCAGAATCTCCTGGAAGAGCAGCCAGTGTTCTCAACCACCGAGCCACCTCTTTAGCTTGCTTTAATGATGTTAAAGATGACATAAGTTGCTGCTTGTAACACGTTCATATTTTCCCAGCGTTGAAATTTATAGCCTTGCTAACATTTATTTATTTGTGTGTATGCACATCTGTGTGCGCGCGAGTGCGCGCACGCGCATGCGTGTGTGTGTGTGTGTGTGTGTGTGTGTGTGTGTGTATTTGTGCTCGAGTGTATGAACACTCATGTATGTGCATACGTGCATGTCACGGTGTGACTATGGAGGTCAGTGGATGACTTTTGAAAGCTGATTCTCTCCTTCCTCTATGTGGGTCCCAGGGATCAAATTCAGGCTTGGTTAATAGTATCTTCAACACACAGAGACATCTCTTCAGCAGCAGTTTGTATTTTATTTATACTTAGCAAAATTACTAAGCATAAGATAGTGAGAAGTTCTTAGTTACCGCATGAATTTGCTAATAGGAATGACTCAGCCTTTGAAAGCCTCCTATATTTCCCTCAATAGCCTTAAAAAGACTTTCCTTATTTTTGTTTACCTGGGTGTTTTGCCTGCATGTGTCTCTGAACATCACCTGTATGCAGTGTCCATGTAGGCTATATTAGAGCATTGATCTTCTGGAACTGGAATTACAGAGGGTTGTTAGCTGGCATGGGGGTGCTGGAAAATGAACTTGGGTCTTTTTAAACACCAAGCCATCTCTCCAGACCCATTTCCTCAAAATTTTAATTTTCCCTCCAGAGGAGAATAATTGGGTATAATAATAATTCATCCAATATTTACAATGCTGTATTTTAACAACGGGTTGGTTTTGATTTGCTGTTTTTCTTTCTGTCTCTTTATTTTTCAAGCAAGAAGAGATGAACTCCAGTCTAGAAAAGTTAAGCTAGACTATGAAGAAGTTGGTTCATGTCAGAAGGAAGTCTTAATAACATGGGACAAGAAGTTGTTGAATTGCAGAACCAAAATCCGATGTGACATGGAAGACATTCACACGTCCCTTAAAGACGGTAGCCACCACTTTCCTAACCTTTTATTCTTGGAAAGCTGTCGAGACATTTTTGATTCATGAAGTAGAAGCACAATATTGCCTTATAAACTGTTTGTAAAGAAGGGATAGTGCTGTGTGGCTGGATGGGTTTTCTCTTTCCACCTATGCCCTGCTAATAGGATTGATGAGAAATTGGTAACGCTGTCCCCAAAGAGGTTGCTGACTTTACTATTTCTCCTTCATACTTACTGCAGCTTTTCTGATGCTTGGTGTTCTTGTTTACCGAAGAAGAGATGCATGCCTTAGTAGACATCTGTAATTGTTGCCATGAAATAGTGCGGACTCACCGTCTTGATTCATCACCAGCATTTGATCAGAAATACTTATTTACATATAATAATGGTGAGGGGTCTATGAGAGACAGCTTGTCCAAATATGCTGCTCTTAGCACCCTGGAGAGCAGAAGCTGAGGGTGGAGTGCAGAAAGGAGAGTTCTCACTGTGATGCAACTCACCTGCTGTGGCTTAATGGCTTTATTCCCAAACTCATGATCTAACTTTTGCATCTTTTGGATTGCAGGGGTCCCCAAAAGTCGTCGAGGGGAAATTTGGCAGTTTCTAGCATTACAATACCGCCTGAGGCACAGATTGCCCAACAAGCACCAGCCTCCAGACACCTCCTACAAGGAACTTCTGAAGCAGCTCACTGCTCAGCAGCACGCAATACTTGTGGATTTGGGTATGTCTGTGGAGTGGGTTATCATTTACACAAAGGGCATCTTAGTGTTTGTCGCTTGGTTAACATTGATGAAGAGGATGGTTGACATTCACTGAGCGGTCTGAGTACGTTGTCCTTATATTCAGATTAAAGAATCATGAGTGGAATATTCACCCCCAAACTGTGCCTCTGAAGTGGGAAACACTGTGAAGACCATGTTATGGGGTGCTCTCAGCTATCGAATTTTGAACAACTGACGTGTGTGTGTGTGTGTGTGTGTGTGTGTGTGTGTGTGTGTGTTTATAGTGCTGGAGATAAAACCCAAGGCCTTGTGCATGCTAGGCAAGTGCTACTCCACTGAGCTGTCCCCTCAGCCAGGCAACTGATTTTGAAATAGGTTAAAAGGGTAAAGAAATATTTAGCGGGGCTTTGAAGACTTTCAGGCACTGCTGAATACCAATGTTCAGCAATCATTGTAAAAACTAATGCCATAGACATCCCAGTAGGGACTCCGGAATGGCTAGATAATGGCAAGTAAGAAAGCAAGAAGCCATATGTGTGGACAGGTGGGCCAATCATGCACTCTACTAAGATACATCCCCAGCCCCCAGATAGTATGATTTTAGAAATCATTTTTTTCTCTAAAGTCCATTATCACACACACACACACACACACACACACACACACACACACATACACATTTTATGTTAGATATACAAGAAAAACCACTGGCTAAAAACTAGTGTTTGCCTCTATTCCTTTCATTGACAAACAGCTTTTCTTGAGTAGAAATGTTATAGGGAAAATGGACAATTCAGTCATTGCCCTGGCTGTGGTTGTCAATAGGCTGCATTTCTCCCAAGTCTATTCCTTTGTTAATTGAGAACTAGACTTGGCCTTCCCCGTGCTCCCGGCCAAACTGTGGGACTGTATTGGTAAATGGGCAATGAGATATAGGACTATGGCATTGCAGCTGGGGCCAGTCTGGATGTCCCCGATAAATAGGAAAATGGTGAATGAGGTTTCAACAAAAGAATGTCAGACAGAGATGGGAATAGGATCGAGTTTTTCGATATACAGTGTACTAATAACTTTTTCTTAGAAAAAGATTTAAGGGAGAAATTAGATCCCTAATTTTAAAAACTGCTTATTTGCCTCTGTCCGGTGGCCGTCTGTGTTCCTCCAACCCTCTCCCGTGCTTCCTCCCATTTCTCCTCCTTACACTGCAGAAATAATCTTATCAGTTCCTGGAAAAAACAAAAAAGGAAACCAGAAAGCACTTTTAAGCCTATGTGCTGGAAAACACTTTAAAAATCTTCCACTCTTGCAAATTCTGTTTAATTTGACTAGTCAGTCATTTGACAAGGAAGCTCACATAGTCCTTGTTTTCTGGTGGCTCAAGGAAAGTCCCAAACTAGTGTCAACTGCTTTGGTGAGGAGGGTGGCTCTGTGGCAGGACCAAGCATCAGCGTTTTAGAAATGTAGATAGGGCTGAGTTTGTTTGCTTATTGGTATCTCCATGGGAATTTCCTATCCAGAGGTAAATTTTAGGCAGAAATTTACTTGAAATCATATTGAACTTTCACTGTCTTTATCTTCCTTGGACATGTGTGTGTATATATGTGTGCACATTTGCATGCATGTATTATATTAATATGTTATATATGTTTTGTTAAAAGAGTTATTTGTTTTATAGAAACAGATAAAATTTATATAAAAAAGCATAATTCCTAAATGATAGACTCTCCATAAAGCAAAATAAAGCCAAACAAATCCCTCCAGTATCATATTACAAACACACAAAATAAGAAGTGAATCTGGTTGTAGGTCACCAAGATTTTGTCTTAAATAATGACACCTCACAGAATTTGATTTTCGTTACAGAGTGATCTTTACATGAATTTAGACTCTGCCTTGATTCAAACTCAAAACCAATCTGAGTTTTGCTCTGTAGTACCTACCTCTCGGCCCTACCATCAAGGACAGATTTCTGTTGAATGGCATTGCTTTTGAAGGAAACAATGCTGCTTAGCATAAAATGGTTGTCTCTGCATCATGTGTGTGGAACCTGGGACTCACATGGTGGTGAGGGGGATGGGGGAGAAGTGAGAGGAGCGAGGGGATGGAGAGAACAAGCGCCTCTGAGATGAACATCCCCAGCAGCTCCCTGGGCTGACAGAGTGCTGCTATTCCCAGAGGTCACTGCCTTGGGTTTCTAACTCTGACTTCTAAGCCTGATTCTCCTTTCCCCCTACAGGGAGGACATTTCCCACCCACCCTTACTTTTCAGTACAGCTTGGGGCGGGGCAGCTGTCCCTCTTTAACCTGCTGAAAGCTTACTCTTTGCTGGACAAAGAGGTAGGCTACTGTCAGGGGATCAGCTTTGTGGCCGGAGTCCTGCTTCTGCACATGAGCGAAGAGCAAGCCTTTGAAATGCTCAAGTTCCTTATGTATGACCTGGGCTTCCGCAAGCAGTACCGACCAGATATGATGTCACTTCAGGTGAGGCAGCAACTCTTGGTGAGTCAGGTGTGCAGGAGGCTTTCATCAGAAATCTCAGTACCAGCCATTTCTGAATCACAGTTCAGACTTCATGAAATCTAGGCCCAGTGTCTTAGAACTTGGGCAAATATATGGATATGTGTTAGTCATTGTTTTAGGAGAGGATTTGAGATTTTGCTAAATACAGAAGTGCTCACCAAGGTATATAACTATAAGCCTTTTCAATTCCTTCCTGGCAGCTGTGTATAGATCTACTTAACAGGCTAAAAGATGTTTTATTCTGAACAGTTTACTTATATTTTATATCAGAGAGAAAACACTGGTATCAATGTAAGGAATTAAAATAACTCTGGTTTTCAGAAAACAATTTCTTTGTTATTAGAGCTTCAGAGAAAAGAAGCTGTATGTGAACAGTGATTTTGGTGTGAGGGACCAAAAATTCAAATTAATAAAAGTTTAAAAACTTAGGCCCTGAAAGGGAACGTCTAATGATAAAGGAAAATTTAACTCCTTAAATCAGGAATGTCATGACTGGTGCCTGATCCCCTGCTCTCAGAGAAGGAGAGGTAACTGTCCACCACTCCTGTTAACATTCCTTTACTAATTGCTGGTCATAAAGCTCCCCCAGCCCTGGAGATAACTGACAGACCCTGTGACTCTGTAACCCTGCAAGCCCATATCCTGTCTTATCTCAGTCAAATGTATCTCCCTTAAAATGTATAGTTAGTCAGTTAGTTACTAACTCTGTACTTTGTATGACCTTAAGTAACCATGGAAAGTCTGTAATTTGTGGCCTTCAACCTTATGGCCTGTCCCTTTAAAAGCTTCTCTTTTTGGCAGGGTGGTATCTCATTTGCCCGCCATGCAGTGAGATCCTAGCTGGCCAGCTTGAAATAAAAAGAAACCTTTTGCTTTTGCATCAGAGTGTCAACTCCTTGGGTTAGTCTCTGGGCTCTGCGAACCTGGCACAACAGGTTCACAGGCAGAAAATTTAGTGTGTGGCCTTTCCCGTCTTCCATGGCCTAACCCATCTCATGTCGCTTCCACCTGTCTGGAGCTTTGCCATGTTAAATGCACTGCAGAATGGGAGAATGATTTGCTCTTTTTGGACAAATAGGGCTTTATTATTAACATTTGCTTTGTAGGAGCCTTGAATTTTTGCATCTGCCCAAATCTACTTTAATGGAGGAAATATTCCTAACCTCCAGTTTAGAACATAGGGTGCAGAATGTAAAATCCTTGAAAATAATGAAATGGCATACATTTGTTTCTTCATTATGCTCACAACTGAACTAGAATAGAATGTGTTTATCAACGTGCTTTTTTTTTCCCTCTGATAATTAGGTTTGTTTCTGAGCTTCCCGAAATACTAGTTCTTCTGCCGATGAACGCCCACCCTTGTCTAGTTTCTAAACCAGAGCTGGTCTAGGGAAATGTATGATTTCCTTCTGGATATGATTTACTGAGATAATAATCTCATTACAAAACATCTTTTTGTGTTTGCCTGCTGCCACGCTGTTTATTTTCCCTCCCTGTGATTTCCTGTGGCCCTGGTTCCTGCCTTTTACAGTTTGTGCTGTTGATCAGGCTCAGGTGGTATTGGCAGTGTCTATGTGCAGCACTTTGCGATTTGTTTTCGCCCAGCGGTTGTCTCGTTTTTAGTTTACGCTCTGGAAACAGTTGTTGAATGTACCACATGATTGGTTGTTAGTGTGCATTTTTATTACTTTATGTCTCTTTATAAGAAAAACTTCACATTCAGCAGGAGATACTGGAAATCTGTTAGGAGACTCTTCTATTGGAAGAATGATGCTCTTTCCAAGTACACACACCATACCAAACACATGGTAGAAATACTTGATTATGAGACTTGGTTGAGTTTATACTGACATGAATTATGCCCTAAATGCAGTGACCTCACATTTGAACATCACCTTTAAAGTTAACCATAAAAATAAAGTCATGTGAGTTACTAAATGTGTGTGAGTTCTTGAAAGTTTGTATATTGGACACACATGCAGATTGCTGCAAGTTTTCTTTTCCTTCTCTATATGAACTGCAGATCCAGATGTACCAGCTGTCCAGACTCCTTCATGACTACCACCGAGAACTCTACAATCATCTTGAGGAGAATGAGATCAGTCCCAGTCTGTATGCTGCGCCCTGGTTCCTCACGCTCTTTGCCTCTCAGTTTCCCTTAGGATTTGTAGCCAGAGTTTTTGGTAAGAGATGCCTGTGTTCAAAGGGGAAGTGTTATATATTGTCCTGAGGTCATTGTCAATGAAGTCCCCATAGGGCTAGGAAAATCATAGAGTATTATTCAAATATAGTGGAAAAGAACTGGGCTCCTATGAGCTTATGTTTATTTGTGTGGAAAACCTAGAAAACAGTTTTCAAATCTAGATTAGGGACAGACTGTATAGTTTTCTAGATTTTTATCTTTCTGGTTCTTTTGTCTTTCTCTCATTACCTTCTTTAACTTGGATTCAAAATACAGAGAAAGGAGCACAACTGCTATGCTATTGTGGATGCTATTTCTAGTGGCATTTCTATAATGATAAGTCTTTCTGCCAGCCACCTGAGCCCTGCCACCAAGTATGCCAACCTCCCGAGTTCTGCCTGCTGCGTTAGGGCCCCAAATAACACACAGAGATTTATATTAGGTACAATGCTGCTGGCCAATGACTAGGATTCCTTATATTCTTGCTCTGTCTTAAGTATGAACCATAGCCATAATCTATATATTTAAAAGACTTATCTTAGAGGACACTGGTGGCGAGTGTCCTATCTTCCCAGTCTCACAAGGCTCCACAGAGAAGAGAGGAGGAAAGAGAACAATTTTCTGCTTGTCCCTGCTTATCTTCTGAGTTTGCCTGCTATGCCACTTCCTGCCTGGATCACAAGACTTCTTTTTACTACATTTCCCAGAATCCTCCTGGACTCCTACTCCCACTTATCTAGCTTCTCTATTGGCTAATAGTACTTTATTTATCAACCAATAAAACAAGCATACACACAGAAGGACACTTCCCGTCATCTCCTCTTTTCTGTCTAAATAAAAAGAAGGGTTTTAACTTTAACATCGTAAAATATATAACAAAACAGTTATCAAGTAAGAACTATAGTTACGATATTTAGTTCATTAACATTTAGCAAGATTTAAAGAAAATATTCTATCATCTATTCTATGTTTGTGAGTCTAAAGTCTTATATGCAGCTTATCTTTTATAATAACGAAAGGAAACTATAACCATAACTATCTGTCTTCAACTCCATCAAAGACCACAGAAGGATAATATATAAACTCTAGGTCTCACAGAGACATCTCACTGCCACCTGACAGTCACCTGAAGTTCCTCTGTAATGTTGGGGCATCCATCTTCAGCCTGTAGGCCACAGTGTGTTTGGCACACTTCTCCATTTCAGCAAGAACCCTTCAGGGCATTTCTTAGTCTTTCTGTTAACATGTCACTTTCGTTCCTGTCTCATTGTTTATATAGCTACATTTACTGCCACTGAAGGAGCCATAGCTAATGCCTAAGTCTATGGCTAAGAGGAAAATCACTGAATGTAGACAGGCCCATTATTGTGTAGCTACATTGCTCCAACCACAGTGTTGGCAATGGGAGAAGGGAGAGTATGGCATGGCTTGTGTGCCCTCTGGGGGCCTTTAGATCTATTCGCAGGTCTTAAATGAATGCATCAAAGTATCATAAAAAAAAACAAAACAAAAACATGAGGTTGAGTGTGGGTGTGTGCACCTGTAATCTCAGCACTTTGAGAAGCTGAGACAGGAGGATTGTGAGTTTGAGTCTGTGTGAATTACATAACAAATCCCCATTTGTCTTAGCTATGATTTCTGCTGCTGTGATAAAACACCATGACCAAAGGCATCTTGGGAAGGAAAGGGTTTATTTCAGCTCACACTTCTATACCACAGTCCATCACTGAGGGAAGTCAAGGCAGGAAACTTGAGCCATGAGTAGATTCAGAGGCCATGGAGAAGTGCTGATTTCCAGCTTGCTCGTCATGGCTTGCTTAGCCTACTTTCTTCCAACACCCAGGACCACCAACCCAGGGGTAGCACCATCCTTTGTGAACTGGGTTTCCTCACATAAAGCGTCAATAATAGAAAGGTGCACTAAAGATTTGTGTACGGGCAATCTTATAGAGGCATTTTCTCAGTTGAGAGTCCTTCTTCCCCAACTGCTGTAGCTGGTGTCAAGTTGACATAAAGCTGACCAGCACAGCATCTAACAACAGAACAGGAAAGACATCAGCAATTACTGTTCACTAGATTTTGCTCAGTGATGTTGACTGGGACCTCTGTAACCTGGAGAGGGCTCCAGCATCTGCTGGGATCTACAAATCTGTCTAGAGGCCAGGGCAAAACAAACAAACAAACAAAAAACCTCTGTATTTGTGGACCATTGTGCTAAATTGGAACTTTGTAATTTTTTTGGTCAAATTTTAAGTCATTACCTTGGGTTTTTTTTGTTTTGTTTTGAATTAGTATAAAACTCAGAAAAAATCAGATTATAACAAATAGAAAAATGTTAGGAGAAGCTTGAGTTATGAGCATGTGTGTGTCTTATGTATACTCCACATTGTGGTTTAGCATATATTTCTAATGGGAAGTCTCATACTGTCTTCTGACAAAGCTGTAGCTGAAATGTGATGTCCAGTTGCATTGCATGGGCCTGCAATCCCTGGATGTCTCTTGCTTGTTGAATATACACCACTTTTTTTCCAGTGGAGAATTCTCTGGTGCTTTGGATTCTGATAATATGTCTCCTAAAAATTCCTTTAGATGTGTTTGTGTCCATTTGAAGGGTTGTTTCTTTCACTTGATTTGGACTCTTAATGTCAGAGTTAATGATACACTGTCCTTTCCTTAGCAGTCTCTTCCCTGTTATAGCTCATGACTAAACATGACAGCAGGCTGGGCTTCACAAGTCTTGTGTATGCTGAAGCTTTCAATTTCCTACTTGAATATAGATTTAATTACATATTAACTGGTTCATTTGCTTTTGGATTATGAATAGTTGAACAGTACTACATTGATTTCTTGTTATGGTCTGTTGTTAAGAAAAACCTGTTAGTTGGATACACTTATTTGAACTTTATCTAGAATCCATTAAACTTACCAGTAAAACGCTAAATAATATATAGTCAGATATATAAGGTCTCCTTTGTTCTCTTAACCATATCTAAAATCCTTACTAGTAAGATGAATAGACAGCATTTGTTTCAGTCATATCAACTTGTTTTTAAAAATAAAAGCTGATTTTGACCAGTTTTCTTTTACATGTTTTCTGGTTCTGATGCTGCAATAAAACAAAGAATGTGCTCTTTGAAATAATAGATATACAACTTTGATCATTAAAATTTTATCCCTTGTTCTAGATATTATTTTTCTTCAGGGAACTGAAGTTATATTTAAGGTTGCTCTCAGTTTACTGAGCAGCCAGGAGGCACTTATAATGGAGTGTGAAAGCTTTGAAAATATTGTGGAATTTCTGAAAAGCACATTGCCTGATATGACTACCACTGAAATGGAAAAAATTATTACCCAGGTATGATGTAAATGGTCTAACATGTGCTAAATTCTTTCGCATAAAAATGTAGTTTGCCTAACATCTATTTTCTTTAGGGTCTTCTTTTGTTTGATTAGCATATTTTATTTAGAAATGAGACAACTAAGAAATTTCAGCATTGTAGCTTTGTCTATCTGCCTATGCACAGAAATATGCTATAGTGATGCATAGTGGGTTTTCAAGGAATCCTTTTGATTTAAACCAATGGTGATATCTTGGTCAGAACCTGAAGAGTCAGTATGATCAGAAAGTAAAATGAAGCTCACTAGCTTTGCAATATCACTAATTCTTTCAGAATTTATAAGAAAGGCCAGACCCGTGACCCCAGCTACTTTCAAGGTGGAGGATGTGGGATCGAAAGTCCAAGGCCACCATGGTGATGTAGCTCTGTGACTGACCATTCTTTGTTCAACACCACAAAACGTAACTCATGTGCAGATTAAGTAAATAGTAATCAGCAGTTTCTAATTATTAAAATCTTTAAGTTAACAAGTATGGCCTTTGTTTATATTTTATTACTTGTCAGTTTCTTTTTTTAAAATATCTTTTCTGATTTGTTTGAAGCATGGTCACACTGTGGAGCTCAGGCTGGCCTTGAACTTGCTTTTCTCCCATTTCTGTCTCCTAAGTACTGGGCTTGTGGGTATGGATTTCCATGTATTACTGGCTGAAATAACTTGTATTAGTATCAAGCAATTATATATGATTATTTTGGAGATTTGAAACCATGTATGTTCTCTTAAATCACTGCCCCCCCCAACTTAAAATAATGAAATTAACAGGACTTTCCTGACTTAAAGCTTGCTACCTCAGTTAGAACCAATTGACCATGGAATCGATTGCTTATCTTGAGAGAGGCTCACAAAGACTAGCAATGAATATATGCATTTATTAAGACCTTTCTGTTCCATTAACAAATACATTCAAAATGCCACTATGTACCTTTGCTTAGTAATCAACAGTGATTGTCTCTGACACAGATAATCATTGCTAAACAACAAATGTTGACCTGGTACTCTAAATTTCGGGAGACAGTTGTTAGGTTACAGTCATCTTGGTTGCTAACTACCCTTGGACATTAGTTTATTCTTGTGACTTGGTCTTATTCTTAGGATGTTTCAGTTGCATAGAAATATTTTGAACTGAAAGTTAGATCTGTATCTCATTGGTTCTTGTGTGGATATCCAGGGATGTTCTTCCATTTTGGTGTGTTCTAATGGTCCCAATAGTGCTGGGAATAAATATGAAGTCTATCATTATACAGCGCTTGTATCTTGGCGTAGATACTGAAGGGCAGATTAACCAGCTCATGGTGCTTCAACAGGTTTTTGAGATGGACATTTCCAAGCAGCTACATGCCTATGAGGTAGAGTATCATGTGCTACAGGATGAGCTTCTGGAATCTTCCTACACCTGTGAAGACAATGAATCCCTGGAGAAGCTGGAAAGAGCCAACAACCAACTGAAGAGACAGAACATGGACCTTCTAGAAAAACTCCAGGTACGGAAACGAAGATGAGAACAACTATGAGCGAGCAGCCCTGTTTGCAGGGAACTGCTCAGGATGACTGGGGCATGAATGTGGGTTGAACCATTGAAGACCAGTGATGTAGGTATCTCATCTGGTCCATTTATTTGGAGGTCAACAAATGTGCTTAGGAGCTTAAGTATCACTTGGGGGAAAAACACACCCACAAAATAGTAGAAGAGCAATTCAAAGCAGAATTTGGGTTTACCTTACCAGATGTTGTAAAATTCAGGTAATTTCAGGGGAGGAAGAATAAAATCTGAGGAATCAGGTATGTGGTTATGTGAGCTTGGGCTGCATTCTGAAGGATGAACAATGAGTGAGGAGGGTCTTTGTGTTGCTCAGGGGAGGAAGCTGGGTCAGTCAGAAAGCTTGACTGAGCTTCTCGCCTCATGCTGGTGAGAAGAGCAGGTGGAAGAAGGAGTGAAGCAGAGCTTCTTTGTTGTCTAAGAGCAGAGTTTTGTGTGTCCATCTTCAGAAGGGAACATCTCAAAAGTAGTCGAGCCTTGCATTTGAAAGAACAATATAAACCACCTTTGGGTGGAGTAAGAAGGAAGGGAAACATTTGTGAAAACCTAGTTAGGAAGTTTTGCCTGGTATTTGTCTAGAGCAAAACAGAAATGAAAAGAGGTGGAAATGTCTCTGGGTAAACCAACAGTGAACTCATAACACAGACTTGCTACAGGCTTTCTGTTGACAGCTCCAGGGAGCCATCATCACGTTTCTCAATCCTTTGAAATGAATGGAGTTTCAAGTATATCTGTAGAAGCCAAAGCTCCTGGGAGGTCTTAGGTTGTTGAAGGTACTGCTCTTGGAAGGGATTAAGGGCATTTCCCCAATACCCTTCTTCTTCTGGGAGGGTTGTTACGAAGAGCAAGACTACCCAGAACCACCAATCACTTGGACTCCTTAAACACAGGAGCTCTTCCTCACCAGTGTGCTCATGGGATGATGTGTGACACAGCATGGGTAGGGGGAGTGCTTGCCAGAGTGAGCACCATGCTGCTTAGACTAGCATCTCCCCAAACTGTGAGACAAACTGAGTCACATAGCAAAAACTAGTTAAGAGTGCCCTTATTCCACCTTCAGTCAGGCAGCACTGGGGAACACCAGTGGGTATGAATGATGATGTCAGCTTCATTTGGGGATGATACAGCATTGCATCGATGCTGTCATTAGTGAGAGGAGAGTCATGTGAGTATAATGTGTGTACATACATATGCCTTACATGTGTGTCTGATACACACACACACACACATACACACACACATATCTATATATCTATATCTATATCTATCTATCTATATCTATATCTATATCTATCTATCTATCTATATATATATATATATCTATATCTATATATATGATATACACTGCTGAAGTTTGAATCCAGGATCTTTTGAATGGTAGAAAAGTATTCTATCACTGAGCTTACATCTTCTGTTTCTAATATTTAGATTTTTGTGTACTTTAAAGGGAGAAAAAACAAACCCTATTTCAGAGAATATTTTTGTATATTGACATAGTCTTGAAAAACACAAATGCGTTTTTCTCAGTGCTTGTTCACATGATATTCTGTTAACTAATGAGATAGAATTATCTAATAACAAATGTAAGACATGGCTGTTACTGTACTAAACAGACTACCTCAAATTTTTAATTTGATTTTTTTTCCTTGACAAACAGGTAGCTCATGCTAAAATCCAGGCCTTGGAATCCAACCTAGAAACTCTTTTGACTAGAGAGACCAAAATGAAGGCTTTAATCCGGACCCTGGAACAAGATAAAATGGCTTATCAAAAGACTGTGGAGCAGATCCGGAAGCTGCTACCAGCGGATGCGCTGGCCAACTGTGAATCGCTGCTGAGAGACCTAGCTTACTCTAATAATGACAAAGCCAAGACAGGAAATAAGCCATAGCTCCATGTGGCCTCAGCAGAGAGCTCCCTTACAATACCCGGAAGGTGGCACCTGTGCACTGCAGATCTAATGTCGACCAGAAATCTGGTGGGACACCTACTACTGGTGTGGAGACCATCAGTAGGTGATGTAGCTCTCCTCAGAACACTCCACTCCTAAGCCATCACAGACATCCAGACTGGATTTTCCTCTGGTTGTTGCCAACTATGTACATAAATATATATATATGGACATAAAGAGTAGTGCTTTCAAATCTAACAGTAGATGTGTATCGGAGCAATTTTTCTTTTTCAGTCAAAACTTCGTGAAATCCATACCAAATGGAAGTTGAAGTGAGATATCCTTTTGGACACACATGGAATCTTTTTTGTTTTTCTAGTGAAACAAATCTAGAACATCTTTGTATATTGAAATATACTTGAAAAAAATGAATGTATTACCCCCCTCAAAGACTAGCAATGTTTCACTCAGTGTGGTAGGCAGACACATTTCTGTAGCTGTATGTGGCTGCTCTATGTAAGGGATGTGTGAGTCTCTTAGGAAGGTGGAGCCCTTCTGCCCTGCCCACTGTGTGACAACCAGTATGTCGTATCTTCACTTACCTAGAGTCTGATTAGGCTTTGCTTGAGACACACAGGGACAAAGCAGGACCTGTGGCTGAGTCCACCCACCTCAAAGTGAAGACGAATGTTGCTAATTTTCTAGCAGATAGACCAGCATTGATATTCGAACTGGAAATATCAGGCCTCAAAGACACAACTAAGCTCCTAAATTGTCTGTAGTAGCTATTTGCCTTTTTATTTAGGTGACTTAGACAGTGGTAAACAGTTGCTTGGTGTTATATTTACCAAGTGACAAGGTTTGCTATTTTCTCACAAAATTATGGGAGCCTTTCATGTAATTCTTGTGACCTTCAGTTTAGAATAGGGAAATAAAAGTATGCTCGATTTCCCAAAGATGATATACCATGTTGAGTTGCTTTTTATCTTTTGCTCAATAACCAAACACCCAAGAATCATTTTCCCCTTTCATGTGAAAATTTAGAACTGTGAAATGTTCAGGAACAAACTGTCTAAAGTACACTGGAAGGGAAGAGAAATTTCTCTAACCCAGTTCAAACCTGGACAATTTTGTATTTGGACTCCTGGCTTCTGCCAGGTACAGATAGCTTATGAGGGAGTGTGCATGCATTCTGGGTGTCTGGATGGAAAGTAACTTTCCTAGTTCACGTTCAGTCCCTACAACAGAGATGACTTGACAACAGTGCCTCTGAACATGAAGGCGACATTTCTGCCTTTCCCAACAGTGTTTATTGTTGCTGCTTTCGGCAGTCCTTGTCTTTTTTGCAGAGGGGTTACTTGGGGGTAATTTTCCTCAGAGAGAGTTTATTATACACAAAATGAAATTTTATTATAGCGCTCACAAGTCAAGATATAGATCAGTAGGTGCCAAGTATCTACAAGCCCTTTTAGGCTGTTCCTCACTTGAATGTCACAAGTCTTGGGATCAGGGTGACCTTGGATCCAGGGGGCTTCCTCCCCAAACAACCAAGTCTTATTATGTAGGAGAGTTGATTCAGCTTCTAGATTCTCAGAAGTGCTTGTTCTAGATTCTCCGTTAGGTTGAGGGCCATTAGTTGATCAGTTGCTTGGATATTCTGAAAATTTCTTCATTTGTAGCATCTTCTATTCTCCTACCAGGATGAAGAAGAGCACAGTATTACTTTCTGATGATAGAAATTGCCTTATGGGTGTGATGCACAGGTGGTGACTGGGGGGGTCTTCATGTTGGGGAAGGAAATATTTTCTTTCTGTTTCTCAGTTAAACGTACATGATATTCTGGATGTTCAAAGTCAGCAATTAAGACAACGTGGATGCAGCATTTTCTTGTGAAAATGATTTTTCTTTCTCATTTGTGATTTTAAAAAACGTTACACAAGTTCTACTTCGTCATTTTACATCTTCATCAGGTTCATGTAATGTCTATTCATTTCCAATAAATATGTTGCTGCCATTTCCTGAACTTTGTTGTTGTTATTTTGGGGGGAGGGTAGGATGGAACGGAGTTTAATCTTTTGCTTAGAGGCTTGAAGTCAAAACCTGCATGGGTTGGATTGATGCTGCCTAAACCTGAAAATGCTGAACATTCCCAAGAACAGAATCCAGGACAACAAATACAATTTAAGACAGTTATAAAAAATACAGTGTTAACCAATTTCCAACTTCTTCCACAATGAAGCCTTTACTAGTGACTGTAGAAAGAAGAGAGGCTGAGCTGCACTGCACCTCTTTCCTCTCTTTCCTCCTTTGTCCTATTCTCAGGCCTCCTTCCCTTCCTCATTCCTTCCCTCTCTTCATTCTCTCTTTTTGTTTCCAGTGTTGTGGGTGGAAGCTAAGACCTCATGCATGCTAGGCACTACATAGACCACTGCTAAGACCTCATGCATGCTAATATTCTATCATTGGACTGTATCTTCAGTCCTACCCCCTTGCATTGTGTAGGGCCTCTTGTAAGATGGAAAGAGGATGCAAAAATTGAAGAATTTTTCCATTACTATTTCTTCCAAATAATTAAGAATGAAAGCACTTACAGATGGATCCAATATGAGTATACTTTTGCATAATATTTCTTTTGAATTATCCTTAACTAGGTCTACAGTATGCTAAAAGAATATTAAATTTTGTTGCTAAACTTACCAAATAGTGTGTAGCTATCTTTGTAGTGTATTTAGTAAAAAGTTGGAGAAGGATGTAGTGATGTCTCTTGTGAAATTTATTTATTTATTATTTTTATGTATATGTGTGCATGCCCATTTGTCTGTATGTGCACCACATTTACACAGTGCCAGAAGATGGCATCCAAATTCCTGGAGCTGAAGTTATAAGCAGTCGTGACCTGCCTGATGTGGGTGCTGGAAACCAAACCCTGGCCCTCTGCAAGAGCAGTTAAGTACTTGGAACAATTCTCCCCAGCCCCTGGAGTGGTCTAAATGGTATAGTCTCCCACCATTCATACTGACTTACCAATTGTGTTACCAGTTTTCTTTTTCTCTCAGTGGTAGATTAGCAATAAGAAATTTATCACCTCACAGCATGAATCATTTTGCTCTCTACGATAAAGTGATACTCCCCTAAGTGTGACCACGAAGAGGAAAAACACTGGATGTCAGTTCAGACATTTTAGACATGAGTTTTGGTTTCACCACTGGTGTTTATTTACTCAGAAAGTTGGTTTTATCGGCCACTTACCAGCTGAACCCAAGGGGGAGAACTCACAGTCTTTGTCCTCAGAGAGCTCTGAGGGACAAGACTCCCTTCAAATGGGAGGAAGGGAATAATTGTAAAACACCTGAAAAACAGGAAGTCATCTCGTAGTATGCAAAGCAATCAACAGTAAGAGTCATTGAATTCAGCTGGGACAGAAGCGGTTGGGGAACTCCAGGAATGGCTGTGACAAGTGTCCTGAGGAAGAGCAGCTTGCTGGGAGCCTGAAAGTGCCAGCTAATGTGCCCTAGTAAGAGGAAACTGTGTAAATCACACCTTGTTTGTTAATACTGAAGTGTACTTAGCCAAATGAGTGCAGTTCCACAGGGGTGTGGACAGAGATGGGCCTCCACTGTCAAGAAAAGAACTCTTCTGAAGGCTTTTGTGGACCATGTGAAAGGCTTAGTTTTACTTACAGGGATGGCCACTAATCAAGGAAGAGGCAGGAGTGTTCCAACCCATAGAGACATTTGAACAGGAACTAGGGAATAAGAAAATGAAATAAAAACCCAACCAAAAAATTTAGTGAGTGCCAGATCTAGCAGAGTGGGTTCTGGGAAAATTATCTTTACAACTGCATCTTTGATGTGGATAGCCACTGAATCCTGCTAGCTTTGTCTCCAGATAGACCATATTCCATCCCTCAGCAACTATCTAGGCCTACATCCTTGCTGTTAACGGATTAAGCTGCTACCATTCCCTACTTCTAAGAGAAAAGTTGTAAATCCAAAGAGATTAAGCAGCTTGTCTCTTGTTTTGTTGAGTGAGAAATAAAAGTAGAGTCTGGGGCTGGATGATTCAGTTGAAAACAGAAGGCAGATCTTAGATTGAGAAAATAAACTAGAAGTATGGGGGGGGAAGTATGCTAATTAGGAAGATTTTGCTATGAATTGTATACAGATTATAACATATATAGTACCATATACCCTATATCAAGTACATTGCAGCACGTGGTAAGAATCTAATGAGTGAGTTGCACTGAATAGTCCAGGAGCATTATGTCCATAGACTACAGTGTAGATGGTTATTGGAGAATAGTGTCCTTAGCACATAGCGTCCATTATCATTTCATCAGAAGTAGCTCACAGTAAGCCATGAAAGAACATTACGATTGGGCCTGTTGCCATTCTCGCATAGACAGTGAGGAGTGTCACAGACCCACACCTGAGATCTTAGCCATACTTTGTTGCACATTCTAGTAGCCCAAGGAATCTTGTAGTCTCAGGAGGTGATACAGGATGTAGTGTAGAAGTTTCACTGACCTGTGCTGATAGCTCTGCAGAAGGCATTATCCATATGTAAGCCTTTCTGGTGGGACAGCACCTTGGGATCATCCACATTCTTGTGAACACCGCCTTGTGTTTTGCAAGTCAACCTAGTAAACTCCTTGGTTTGCTAAGTCTGACTTTGGTTGCACTGTAGCCTGGTCTGCCACTGGTACTTTCTGTAGTTGTGTTGTAATTTAACAGTTGTTAAAAATCTATTACATATTATCAAGTATACATAAATGAACTATACTGAGCATGAGACCGTGTATCTCACACTGCTTATGATCTATGTAAACATATTTTATTCTTCAATTGTTTTTATTGAAACAAGTTTATAATTCCAGGAGATGGACCAGAAAAATTATTATTCTTCATAGGAACTTCCCAATAGGATTTTTCAGTAAATAATTCTTATCCCTAACTTTTTTTTAACTTGTCATCTTCAAATCCTTGTGTTGTTCCTTCCACCACCCTGAAATAGTATATCCTGATGATCACTCAGACTTAACCAAGTGCCACATAGAAATAGAAACCTTAAACAGATTTCCCTTGCCTGAACACAGTCAAAGCTGTAGAGCACTGGTTTCCAATGTATGGGACATGACCCCTTTGGGATCTATATCAGATATCCTACATATCAGATATTTACACTACAATCCATATCAGTAGCAAAATTACAGTATGAAGTAGCAAGAAAGTAATTTTATGGTTGGGGGTCCATGAGGAGCTGTATTAAAGGGTCACAGCATTAGAAAGGGTGAGAGCCACTGTTGTGGAGTTTGTGTTTTCCCATACCATGACAGGCAATACTTTCAGCTCTGTCCTGTTAATGAGACACATTTGGGAAATTTAGGTGACTACCAGCATTTGATAATAGTGTCTAATGTGCACGTAAATACCAGACTACATAATTCTGTTATCCTCTCCCTTTTTTCTTCTTCCTGTACATACTTTACTCTTCACTTTCTCTAGTCTCCTTTTCTTTGTGCCATCTGTTTCAGACTGCTCGATCATTCTCAGCAAGCCCTAACTAGTGACTCTTCAGTACAGAGCAGTTACAAATGTTATAATGCAGGAAAATTGAACTGAATGTTACTTAATATCACAAGAAGAGGGGCTATGAAGGTTAAAGCCTGAGGCTACCATGAAGTATTCCTGAAACTTTGAAAATAAGGGCAGTGTGAGAATTTTTGAAGTGGCATCAACATGGTTGGATTTCATCTGTGAGGTTTCTTTAGGCAGCATAGCCTCTGGACCTGAATGCTTTACTATAATATAATTGAATATATTTGCATATCTAGAAAAAATTAGGTTAATCCAAAAAGAATTGGTTAGTCTTAGAAGACGGAAAACATGGCAGGTCTTGGCAGATAGAACCAGAGGGAACCTTTGCCAAGACCCCTGGCAGTGTCCATGTTGTGAATGTGAATACAGGGAGCTCTGTCCTCTGTCCTCCCTGTGGTTCAGCCCTTCTGACAAGTCTGTCCCCATTGTGAGACCCCTGTGCCATCTGTGTTGGACTGGTGCCCTAGACACCCAACTCACTGCTCTCCCTTTATTTAAAGTCCGTGCCCTCCAGCCACCCTCCTGTTTATGATTCTGCTTTGCTCTCTGTTACAGAGAAATAGGAAGCTATGTACACAATGCAGATATTCAAGGCCCTGGGAAAAATGTGTACTTCTAAATGCATTAAAAACAGGAAGTCCTACTCTCAGGAATTCTGGTGAAATAGATGCAATGTAAAACGTAGTATCTAAACTTTTTAAGCGTAGGTTCCAATGGCATTAACTGCGTTCACAACAACTGCATTCATAACTGCATTGTTGTATGATCATACTCCATATCTCCTTAATCTTTCCTCTTTGCAAAACATCAGCTGCTTCCATTAAAATGTTTTCACTTTGCGCCGGTCCTTGTTAACCACCATCTAAGTTATGGCATATGTCAGAATTTGTTTACCAGTCTCTCTCTCTCTCTCTCTCTCTCTCTCTCTCTCTCTCTCTCTCTCTCTCTCTCTCTCTCTGTGTGTGTGTGTGTGTGTGTGTGTAAGGAGGTGCATATGTGCTATGACATGTATGTGGAGGCTCAAGAACAATCCTGACTGTTGATCCTTACCATCTACCTTGTTTGAGATAGAATCCATTTGTTCATTGCTGTGTACATCATTCTAGTTGTTGCATGAAGTTTTATGGGGATTCTACTGCTTCTGTCTCTGTCTCCTGTTCCTATAGGAGCGCTAGGCTTACAGGTGCACACCACTGTGTCTTGTTTTACATAGATTTGGGGTATCTAACGTTATTTCCTCATGCTTGTGCACCAAACACTTTACTCATTGAACCACCAATTTGGTCCCAGAATTCCTTGTCTTTTAAAGACTACATTTTGATTCTTTAATATATTTGTATTTGGATACTTGTTTTCTTTATGCTCTTTTGGTTATTATGATTAATGCTGCTGTGATAGTTGCTATACAAATACACATATTAAGAAC